TTTTTTTCAATCTGATACAATTTTTTTCGAGGTAAAAACATTAAAAAATATACTTGGCGGTTTTTTTACATTTTTAATGTCTATTTTCCACGGATACATACTTACAAATCGTTGATAAAATAACGTTTTTGGAGTTTGATTTCCAGTTTAGGATCGCCTTAAGGACAGTATATCCTGTTAAATAATTACTTCTGATATTAGTATAACCAAATTTAAATTATTGTTATTGTAACTGTTATTACATTATATAAAACTTAATGATACCGGAATTACAAACGCGTGCTTCGCATGCGTTATTTGACATTTTTTACTTTTACTATAATTTGCTATTACATCACATCAATTTCAATATATATTATATACAATTGTCAGAATATGCAATGACAGCTGTTCAACGAAGTAAGCATAGTGAGGTAACCAATTATCATTACGGAAAAGCGAAAACAAATAACTTCGAGAAATGCGCGACGAGTTGTCGGCTTAACATGCCTTTTTTAGATAGGAGGATAGGAGGATTTAAAGTAAAAAAAAAAAGCAGCAAGTATGCGTCAGTGCGGCAATTAAAACGAAATGTCTAAAAACAACTAAATTTTAAAATTAAATATATTTAGTCAATTAATCCGAACATTTCGACTTTTTTTTTAGCCATCTTTAGCAAAACGATTACAATATGTAAATATGTATTTCTGCCGACCATGAGGTAGAATATTCCTTGCCTAAAGAAGTCAAAATATATCGGTGGCAAAAAACTAATATAGTGGGCAAAAAATTCCAATGTATTATAAAGAGTGAACATTAATTGTAAAATCAAAGACGTTTTCGTAAAAGTTAAAGAGACAAAGAATGCACTCACCTCACAGTTAGCATTGTCGAGAAAATCGTAAAACAAAGGTATATATTAATATAAGGTTATTTCTCGATATTTACTTGTTATATATAAATTAAATACTCACTAAACATTTTAACCATTACGTTGTTGAAACGTTATTCTAATATCTCGGCGACAGCAAATGTCCTACCTCTACGACGGTTCAAAGAAACGTTTTATTTGTGAGATTTTTGCAACGTAACAGGAATGTATCATTATGCAAAATCAATTGCTACGTTTCTTATACGTTGTAATAATGCTATAAATAAAGCCCGTCTACAATTGCGTAAGCATAGTTGCAAGTAGTTGTAGTTGTAAAAAATTACAAAAAAACGGGCGCGCCAAATATGTTGTTGCTGGAGATTTTCTCACATCTTTGATTGTTTTCTACACATTGTTGTCACATAATTTGCTACTTATTGTCAGTGCAAAAATCTCTTTTTAATTTCTAGGTCCCTTATTATATTAACTATTGTATTTTTTGTTTTTATTTTATTTTACTGCTTTGGTTCTTTGCATAATGTTATAAATGAGAATTAACTAACTATTATCATTTGAATTGGAATAGGAAGAGTTGTTGCCTATTCTAATTAGTATATTTGAAATAATGTTTTAATTTCTCTTCTTTAGCATACCA